CAACCACAAATAGACATAAAGCTAAGAAAACAAACCTGCCTTGTAAAACGAGGTGTAAAAGAGTGCAAAATTCTGTATGATAGCCTAAACAAGGGAGAAATTTTGTCAAAGATGTCTCACAAGTTACTTAATAGTATGTCAGGATTCAGTTTTGCAATAATACAAAGACTTACTTATTCCTCACTTGAACCATATGAATATGCCTCAAGAATATTAGTAGTGTTTGCCACCTGTGAACACAAAAAAGACAGATACACACGCATAGAAACACATACAAAACACAACATGCACACAAGGACTCAAAGGCAAACAAAGACACACAGCACAGAGTACAGACACAGAGTATACAAAAATGAGCACGTAGAGCACACAAACAGAGGCACACGGACATGGACATAAACAAAACTTATGATATAAGAAAAAGTAGGACAGAAAACATAGGAAGAAAACATAAACTGAACTCCAGGATGAGTCTCATGCCTAAACTCAAACAACTAATTCACAACAGTTTTTAGAAACTTCCAATGAGCTCTTAAAAACCGAGGATGTTGTCCCACAACATACCTGCCAACAGATGCAATGGCATATTATTCAACAGAGGTATTACATCATTTAACATCGAGCAAATCAATACAAAAACATCCCTTACATGATATTACGTGCAATAATAGCTTTGTTATCTTTTCCCGTTGTGATTTCACAGAGATTTAATAAATCACAACCTGCCACATAAACATGATGTGAGTAATAATTGTTTCGAAAAAAATCACAACTAAAAGGAAAACAAAGATACATGTCGTGTTCTCAATTTTTTTTTATTTTCCCAAACCAAAGGAGTTGGGTTCTTCGGGCCTATATCTTCTCTAGTGTGTTTTTTATTAAAACAAAATACAATCACCTATAAAATAAATTTTTAACTGGATTTTAGTGATATTTTTATATGTATTAGTTATGTATAATATCATTTATCACACTTTGAAAACACAAGTTTTAGCAATCATAAATCATAATCATAACATAAGAAATAGACAACCATAAGACATGAATGTCAACATCATCATACCTTAAAATCCTCGGTATCATCTACATATGAGATGTTGATAAGATATTCAAGACCCAAAGGCAAAGCAGATGTATTCTCTTTACTATGGTAGATATGACGGTTCAGGTGAACAACGTCCAGGACCATTTGCTAAATTCCTAGAGGAATGTGGTATTGTCCCATAGTACACTATGCCAGGTTCGCCCACTATGAATAGTGTTGCTGAAAGACGAAATAGAACGCTTAAAGATATGGTAAGGAGTATGATTAGTCATTCTACTTTACCAAAGTCACTCTAGGGAGAAGCCCTTAAAACTGCAACATATATCCTTAATAGAGTTCCAACAAAAGCAATTGGAAAAACCCCTTATGAACTTTGGACAAGCAAAAAGCCTAGTTTAAAACACTTACATGTTTGGGGTTGTCCAGCTGAAGCAAGGCCTTATAGGCCAAATGAAAAGAAACTAGACTCAAGAACTATAAGTTGTTATTTTGTTGGATACTCTGAAAGATCCAGGGGATATAAATTTTATGATCCCACAACTAAGTCGATTTTCGAACCAGGAAATGCTTGGTTCTTTGAGGATGTCGATTTTGCAAGAGGAGATATAATTGAGGACTTTGTATTTGAAGAGGAATATGTTGATATTCCCACAAGTGTTGTTGGCATTGTTCAGGATTCTCTTCTTGACTTTGTTCAAGACACAACAAATCAAGATAATGTCAAATCTTCTATGCAAGAAGTTGTTCCAGAAGAACAAACTCTTCCTCCTTAAGAACCTATGCCATTAAGGAAATCCACTAGAGAAAGAAGAAGTGCAATACCAGATGACTATATTGTGTTTCTCCAAGAACATGAGGTTGGAATTGGATTGATGGAAGATGATCCAATTAACTTTCATCAAGCCATGGAAAGTTCTAATTCTCAAAAGTGGATTGATGCCATGAATGAAGAGATTAAGTCTATGAGGGACAATGACGTTTGGGATCTTGTTCCATTACCAGAAGGTGCGAAACCCATTGGTTGCAAATGGATATTTAAGACCAAGAGGGATTCGAAAGGTGATTTGGAGAGGTTCAAGGCTTGTCTTGTCGCAAAGGGATTTACTCAGAAAGAAGGTATTGACTATAAAGAAACTTTTTCTCCAGTTTCTTCTAAAGACTCTTTTAGGACTATAATGGCATTAGTGGCGCATTTCGATCTTGAGTTACATCAGATCAATGTAAAGACAACGTTTCTCAAAGGTAACATTGATGAGACAATTTATATGATGCAACCAAAAAACTTTATTTCAAAAGATTCAAAGAATTTGGTTTGCAAACTTAAGAAATCCATCTATGGGCTCAAGCAAGCATCTCGGCAATGGTATTTCAAGTTTCATCATGTGATCACCTCGTGTGGTTTTGAAGTGAATTTAGTTGATGATTGTATATACCATAAGTTTTGTGGGAGCAAGTATATTTTTTTAGTTTTGTACGTTGATGATATTTTGCTTGCCAGCAACGATATAAATTTATTGCATGAAACCAAGAGATTTCTATCTAAGAACTTTGAGATGAAAGATCTTGGTAATGCATCTTTTGTATTGGGCATACAGATACACCGAGATCGCTCTTGAGGTACTCATGGGTTGTTTCAAAAAGGTTATATTGAAAAGGTTCTCAAGAGATATGGCATACAAGATTGCAAACCAGATAATACCCCTGTGGCTAAGGGAGACAAGTTTGGTCTCGCTCAGTGCCCTAAGAATGACTTTGAAGAAAAGGAGATGCAAAAAGATTCCTTATGCATCAACAGTAAGAAGTCTTATGTACGTCCAAGTTTGTACGCGTCCAGATATTGCGTACGTTACAGGGTTGTTAGGTAGATATTTGAGTAATCCTGGATTGGATCATTGGAAAGCAGTTAAGCGAGTCATGCGGTACTTAAAGAGAACAAAAGATTATATGCTCATATATCGGAGGTTGGATCAGCTTGAGATCATTGGGTATATTGACTTCGATTTCGCTGGATGCCAAGACAGTATGAAATCTACATCACGCTATATATACATGCTAGCTGGAGGTGCTATTTCATGGAAGAGTGCTAAACAATCTCTTATAGCCTCTTCTACTATGATAGTTGAATTCATAGTGTGTTATGAGGCATCTAATCATGGAATTTGGCTACGAAACTTTGTCACAGGCTTGCGTATAGTAGATGGTATAGAAAGACCACTTAAGTTATGTTGTGATAATAAATCAGCAGTTTTATTTTCCAACAACAAGAAAAGCTCAACAAAGTCTAAACACATAGAACTCAAGCTCCTAGTTGTTAAAGAAAGAGTTCAAAGTGAACAATTGTCTATAGAACATATTGGCACAAACTCCATGGTTGTGGATCTGCTTACTAAAGGATTACCACCCAAAATGTTTCATGAGCACACTGCTCATATGGGTGTTATGTCTTTAAGTGATGTTCAGTTTTAGTGGGAGTTTGTAATTTTATGAATGCTTCTATGACATAGACATATTTTTCAATATATGTATGGTTCAAGTATATTTTATGCAAAAATAAAGTTTTGGTATATTGAAACTTTGATTTTGTCATGGTTTGATCTCACTAAGGTTTAAGGAGGACCTATTGGAATTAGGCATGTTAAGATCACATTACATGAAAATTCCATACTACACATCCATATCATGATTCATGTTATTCATTTGTATCAATATATGTGACCATTGATGGGTTTAGTTACGACAAATTAAATGTAACAAAGATTGCTTTAATCCTATGTTAGTATGATTGATGAACCGAATTGGTAAAAGATGCATTTTATAATTATATAATTATAAGGTTACACATATAGTCCAAATGGGAGATTGTTGGATCCTTAATCCAACATTTAATCCAACATTGGTCTTATATGTGAATAATAATATATTAAAGACACATAATGTCAAATTAAAGTGATCTAGTGACGTATAAATTATTTTGGCAGCTATGTATCTGAAAAGTTATGGGATTTTTAATGTGGTAACTAAAGGATAATTCTATTTTGTGATGGGTTAAAATAGAAATACCAAAAAACCTTATAACTGTCTATAAATAGGTTAGGTCCCCAGATCACACTACGTTCTTTTTTTTTTTGACATCCCATTATCAGAGAGAGACAGAGAGATAATTAAAGAGTTCTCTCAAGAGAGTAGGTGTTGATCTGGAAGGCCAAACCACACAGCTCTCTTATCATTATGAATTTAGGTATGCTTCTGCTTGTTGTTTCTAGTGATTAACATGATAGATTTTATATTTTATATAGATGATAGTTTTCATCAAAAGCTTAAATTTGGTTCTAACATAGTGTACATATCACTTGCCAACTCAGCAGTCCCTTTCAATAAACTAACACTGATTGACGGAAGGACTAATAAGTTAACGGTTCTAAGCTTTTGGGGACTAATTTGTTCACCCATTAACTGTTAGGGACTAAAAGTAAGCACGGTGACCCTTTTAGAGACCAATGTGTATATTAACTCGTTCTTCTAATTAGTCTTGATTCAACAATAATTATAATATGACAATTTCTATGTGAACCAACTTAACAAATTATTTATTAGGGATCATAAATTTGTTATCATCTGATATAATCGAACGGTTCAGATCATAGTATATAGTTAAATAATTTAGTAATAATAACTTCAAATTAAAATATGTTAAAATTAAAAAGGTTATTTTAATTTTTTGACACTAAAAAGTGAAAATTGTACTTTCATAACATTAACACTCACGTTTACTATTTAGACGTGATAAAAAAATAAAATATAAATTAGTTTTTTATTTATCATTTTTCTTCTATTTAAAATCTTCAACTTAGTATTTATATATATATATATAATATTCACAAAATTAAATATATTTATTTATTTTAAATATTTTTTACTTGATAATTACCTATTGAAATATCAAATTTTACTTAAATTATAAAAAAAATTTAAAATTTTCATTGTTATTCTAATTTCAAACACCTTTGAACAAAGTAAACCTGAAATACTTGTTAATTGTTCTAAATGAATCTTATTTTAAGGTTGATTAATAAAGAGAAAGGAAATGAAATAGATAAGAAATAAAAAGAAGAAAGAGAAATGGGAGAATGAAAATAAATAAGGAACAATGTGAAAATCTAATTATTTGGTTTAAAAAAAATATTATATAATTTTAATAAGTTAAAAAGAAATGCATGAGAAATAAAATATATATTAAAATATATAGGAAAATTAAATCAAGGAAAAAAAATAACATCAATGAGGTAAAATTGTCCAATCCCCTATAATGGGTTGACGTACAAGTGACGATTACACTGTATCTGTAATGAGTTAAATAAATTAAAAAATAAAATGAAAAAAAGGAAAATCGTTATTGTTCCTTTGAAATAATTGAGGAGGATACATAACAACATATGACAATAATAGGAAATTATAAAGGTAAGAGTCACCTCAAATAGACAAGTATAGTTAGAACTAGTGTTCTCCTATATTTGGTTTTTTGTTATCATACATAAAAACAATACTCGTGTTGGTCACAATTGAAAAATTGAAATGTGAAAACCACTGTAACAAGAAAAAAGTCACGTATCAGAAAAAGGGAGAAACTATGGCGGATACGATACCTGCATGTTATGAGGTATCTGTACTTAATCCCAATCGAATTTGGCAAACTGATAATGTCCTTAAAACAGAACTTCCTATTCTCGCCTTTCAAATTGCCTTCGCAGTTGTGTTGTCTCGTTTTTTCTTCTTTATCTACAAACCTCTTCATCAACCTCGTCTTATTTCACAGATCTCTGTAAGTATTTAAATTACATTTGTTTATGATAAATCTCATTTCTCCTTTAATTTGTTTATGATATATTATTGCAAAAAAACTTTCATTTCTCATTCCAATAATATAATCTGTGGGTATTCTAAATTTAATTTAATTTAATTATGTAGGTTGGTTTCCTACTAACTCCACCATTACTTGGGAGATACACAACAATTTTTGAGTTCATCTTTCCTGCAAAAGGGGTCCTTAATATTGAAGTCCTGGCAAACATTGGTCTCATCTATTATGCATTCCTTAGTGGTTTGGAGATGAACTTAAATACCATTCTACAAGTAAAAAAGAAGGCTGCAAGCATTGCAATTGCCGGGATCATCTTTCCCATGGTGATGGCACCAGGCCTGTATGCTCTACATCGAAAATTTTACAGCAGTAATGACAAAAATCGCCTTGAAGAAAGTACAAGTAATGCTTATTTACTTTGGACTTTAGTTCTCACTGTTACAGGTTTTCCTGTCCTAGCTCACACACTTTCTGAGCTCAAGCTCCTTTATACTGGTCTTGGTAAGGCTGCTTTAACAGCAGCCATGATCAGTGAGACCTATGGTTGGATTCTTTTCACTTTACTTGTTCCATTTTCAATTACTGGTAAGAGAGCTATTTACTCGGTGGTAAGCACGACATTATTCATTGTTGTCTGCATCTATCTGGTACGTCCAATCATTCTGCGGTATATTGATCGCAAGACAGACGAGGAGGAGTGGGATGATAACCAATTACTCTTTGTGGTGATGGGTTTTATAGCTTGTTCATGTATTACAGATATTCTTGGCACACATGGCATTGTTGGGGCTTTCGTATACGGATTAATTTTACCACATGGGAGATTTGCCGACTTGGTGATGTCAATTTCAGATGATTTTGCTGGCGGGTTTCTGGCACCACTCTTCTTTGGTGGCACCGGAATGAGACTTATATTGACCACGATTTTCTACCAGGCACATTGGCCCTTAACATTGTTGGTTATAGTCTTCTTGTGCGTTCCAAAGATTTTAAGCACTTTATTTGCCACTTTCGTCTTTGGTATGCAAGCTCGAGATGGATTATCCCTAGGCTTACTTCTGAATACCAAGGGTGCCATGGCTCTGATAATGCTAAACAATGCATGGGATCGAGCGGTAATGATCCATTTAAACGTTGTATTTAATTTATTTATTTCTATTTTCTAGCTTCTTTAATTACTCATACCATTGTAGTTTATAAGTTCTCGTGATGTGTTATTGCAGATTTTTTCTTTACCTACCTATGCCGTTATTACTTCTGCTGTTATTCTAATGACTGTGATAGTGTCTCCTGTCATCAACGCCATCTACAAACCAAGAAAGAGATTTCAGCAAAACAAGCTAAAAACTATACAAAAATTAAGAGTTGATGCAGAGCTTCGAATTATAGCATGTGTCCACAATACTCGCCAAGCCACAGGCATGATCAACATCATTGAATCTTTTAATGCCACAAGACTTTCCCCTATACATGTTTCTGCCATGTACCTCATTGAACTTACTGGACGTGCTGCTGCACTTGTTGCTGCACATATGGAGAAGCCGAGTAGCCAACCCGGAGTACAAACTCTCACCAGATCACAAGCAGAGTTAGAAAGCATTGCCAATACCTTCGATGCATTTGGAGAGGCATATGACGCTATCAGAATCGAGACCTTAAATGTGGTGTCAGCCTATGCAACCATTCATGAGGACATATACCACTCAGCTAATGAGAAACGCACAAGCTTAATTCTCCTTCCATTCCACAAACATTTAAGTTCAGAAGGTGCGCTTGAAGTAACCAATGCTGTATACAAGGATGTAAACCAAAATGTAATGCAACATGCACCTTGCTCTGTGGGAATCTTTGTTGATCGTGATTTTGGGTCAATTCCCAAGAAGAACCTTCGTATTCTTATGCTTTTTGTTGGGGGCCCTGACGATCGTGAAGCCTTAGCTGTAGCATGGAGGATGGCAGGACATCCAGGAATCCGGCTATCAGTGGTCAGGATTCTGTTGTTTGATGAAGCGGCAGAAGTACATACTTCAATTCACAATGAAACGCAAGGGATATTGTCTGCTGTAATGGATAGTGAGAAGCAGAAAGAGTTAGATGATGAGTATATAAATTCATTTAGACTTACGGCAGTAAACAATGAGGATTCTATATCCTACTCAGAGATTGAAGTCCATACTGGTGAAGATATTCCCAAAGTTCTCAACGAGCTACAAAAAATTGGTTGTGATTTATACATAGTTGGACAGGGGAATTGTAGGAACACTCGGGTGTTCTCAAATTTGTTAGAATGGTGTGATTGCTCAGAACTTGGAGTTGTAGGGGATATTTTGGCGTCAAAGAATTTCGGTTCGCGCTCATCTTTACTAGTTGTTCAACAATATGGGTACGGAGGAATGGCATTTGCAAAGAATCTCAACCATGTGTCCACCAATATTCATGGCTTTGAGTCGCTTGTCGTGCACACAGAATAAGCATTAGGATTGGTAAGGAACCAACGTATGTAGTACAAGAAAAAGGCTTGGTTAAGTGTGCTTACGAAGACTAAAGAATATTTCATATAGTACCAGGTTTTTGTTTAAGATTAGAATTGGTACCATGACAGTATTCAAAAAGCAACTGTGTCTCATGTTACCATACTAGTGTTCTTTTTTGGTCACGACTATGAATTATTAAATTATAAAAAATTAATTGTAAAGAATTGTTTATTATGAAAATTTAGAAAGGTTGTGTAAATATGATATCAATGATTTTTCACCTTAACCTGTTGTATATGTAGTTATGTTAAATATTTGATAACTTTTGGAAAGAGTTTGAACGTAATTATCTTTAGAAAAAAAATACTTGTTATCTATATAAAAAAAATAATATCAATAATTATTTATTCTGGATATAATTCATGAACATTAGTAAATTCTCCATACTCCATATATATATATATATATATATATATCCCACAAA